AAGAAATACCACCAATGATATAAGAGATATTCTTTCTTTTATATCTCTTAATCAATCTATAATTAATTCACCATAGTCTAAACAGGGGTTAGGAGAATAATTAATTCACCATAGTCTCAACCGCCGTTAAATGCCATTTTTATGCCGCCAATACTTGCATAAATCAGAAATTACAAAACATCCAACGTACTGGTAGGGCTTAATTATAATGATTTCCACACGTGTTGGTGTATATTTAGATGCAGGTAATAAACCACCAAAGTTGATGATGTTTTCCCGCAGGTGGAACATAAAGTTGCACGCGAGAGGAACATTCAAGGATTGATGGTGCATTATGGTCTCGTCCGTTACCGGAGCAACGTCACCATTGATTCCCATCGGTTACGCTTTTGCTCATAAAAACAAATCGGCCCGAAAACAAGCACCCAGCCCGACCCCGTCGCCATGGCCTGATCCGGTTAGCTCAATGCGTGTGCATTGGGCACTCCCACCACCGGCTTCTCACGAACACTTTCTGATGCATAACGACAAGATGTTAGGGTTTGGGTTAGGGTTAAGGGGTGGAAGGGGGGAGGGCCAGAGGGGGTAGCTGGGGAGGTGGTAGTGGCATATTGGGCTTAGAGTGATGGCCTGCGAGGTGGCGGACAAGGGCGGGAAGCAACGCAGCGGTGCTGCTGCCGGAGCCTCGGGGTCGATTGCTAGCGGGGGTAAAGGTCAGCGAAGGAGATGGGACGGATGCCAGCTAGGCGAGGCCCGGCTAACACGTTGACTCCTTTTTTATGCTGGCACAGTTTGGTGGTGGCGGTGGAGAAGGTGGGAAATTGAATCTAACCTGTGTTTGGATTTTGCGGGAGGAGGAGCAGGGGGAGTTCGCCGGAGAGGCTGGTCATTGCTCCCATCACCAGCATGTCAAACTCCCCCTCCCATCGCCCGGCCACCGATGTGGGCACATAAAACGAGGTGTGGAGAAGAGGATAAGGTTAGTAGGAGTAGGGGGCTCACCCGTTGGAACCACCCAGCGATTTGGGTTCGAAACCCATCAATTGCAACTTTTTATTACCTTTCTATTTTTATTCACCCTAGAAAAAAATTGTTCCTATTTTTTTATTCGACCTCACCCAAAAAAAATTATTTGCCCCAAAAAAAATGGCTAAGGGAAAAAATCGTGCCTTTCTAATTTTTTATTCGCTACGACATGAAAAGGAAAAAAAATTAAATGATGAAAGGGGGAGGGAGTGGAAAACAGAATCACCAAGTCTCAAGGGAAGTCAATTTACCACTAGGCCACGCAATACTTATGGAAAAGAAGAGCTCTGAACATTTTTAAAGAGCATATAACTCAGCGCCATGCGCATTGGTGATGAGGGTGGGAGTCAGCGCCAAGGCGATGTTGGGCCTCAGCATCAGAGCCCATGGCGTTGAGGTTTTGGTTCATTTTTATAATAAGTTTTTGGCGTGGTCTATTCTTTAAATAAGTTTTTTCAAAAGGCTCAAATTATCAAAATTTTGGTAGTTTTTGGGCAAAGATATTTTTGAAAAGAAAAACATCTCCAATCAGCTTGAATACACACCAAAATTCACATTCAAAAAATTTTCCCAACAAAGCCCGATTCATCGGCCCTAGATGCCATCATCGGGAAGGGGAAGGAAAACTAACCCATCGTTGATGAAGGGGGAATGGGCCACGTGCAGCACCGACCTCCATGTCTGATGATGGGGACTGGTCCGGCCTCCCTAGCTCCACCACCAAAGTTGAGGCCGATGAAAACGTGCTTCGATATTATTGCTGCATTAAGGCTCTCCCTGCTGCACCATTGCCGTTGCCGAATCCAAGGCCGTGGACATCCTTGGCTTGCCTAGATCCACATGTCGGCACGTGGACGACCTCCGTTCTGCACATCAGTGCCGCGGATGACCTTGCCTCACTTCGCCTAGATCTGCCCGTTGCCGTTGTGGTCGTTGAGCGCCTTGTCACCAACCTTGTACACAACCTACAACAGCCAGATCCGGTGCTCCCGAGCCGTGAATCTTCCAGATTTGGTGCTCCCGCAAGGCCCGACCATCGTCACCGTGCCACAGCACTGGGGAGGGAGGGTTGAAGGCAGTGGCAGGCAGGGGGCAAGGAGTTAGGGCAGCTACGATAGGAGAGGGATCGGAGGGGGGCGCTTGGTGAGGGAGAGCCAGAAGAGTGGAGACTATGGAGTAGTGCTTGCTGCTTCTCTCTACTGATTTTTTTTATCATACCAAAGGCAGTCACCACTAGGAGAACTCTGTGTAAAACATGGGTATTTTTATAGACTGGTCTTCACAGGTATTTACTAGTAAAAATCATTGTATTCACCGACGGACCCATAAGAAGACCGTCTATGAAAAAACCTGTATTTTTATTGACGGGCCTTATAAGGTCAGGCCTTAAATGGGGAATTATGTACTGGAAGACCTTATTTTAGGCCGCTTATAAAAAAGAAGGGACCACGGGTGTATGCGAAAATGGTATAGTAGTAGTGTAATATTGTTTAATGTAATAGTTGTTAATATATTACACCATCTGTCCCAAAATAATTCATTTGTGGGTTTCTGTCTCCAACGTTTGCCCGTTTGCCTTATTTGAAAATTTTATGAAAAAAATAAGTCATGTGTAAAATGCTATTCATGTTTTGTTATATAATAAGTAATAACGACAAAAATACTAATTATAAAAAAAATTCAAACAAGAAGTACAGTCTAATGTTAGACACAAACCTAAACTTATTTTGGGATGGAGGGTGTACATGGTATCTGCTCGATTGGTTCCATTGAGGACCATAATACAGAGCGATTTAAATTTTTAAAAGTTTTTTGTTTCGACTAATTTTCGATAGACTTGTTTAGTTGCTGCTTAAAAAAACGTGAAAATAGGGCTGGATAACAAAAGGAACCCTAACAGCGTAACAATCGTAAAATCCTCGCTCCACTTCTTATTATATATACACCTAACACCTGAACTCTTTACGTTTTTTGTTTTTGAAAATTACTCATTTCATTATATAGCAAAGATAGAGATTAGGGAAATAATCCCCAGTACAGATCGGTCATACAATACATAACCATCATTTCAAGAGATAAGACCAACTGAAGTAAGAACAACAAATTTAAGATGTAGCTATACAACAGTAATAGATGAGATCAACAAGGACTCGCGGAGTAGCGGCGATGCCGTGACAAAAACATCCATGGACCTTCATTGACGTGCACTCCGCTTGATAACCCTGTAATAGCATAAGATGAAGGTTTGTTGTTGACTCATAGATTTTAATTTTGGTGTGAGCTTCACCTGACTCAACAATTGATTTTTATGGAGCTCGTTATCAAATCTAAGAAGCTCGTTATCAAATCTAAGAAGCAGTGACTGCAATCCTGTTTCACAGGATTGCACGGACAGTCTACGCTAAACCTGAAAGATAAACCCAGTATGGTTACCGTTGCATAAAAACATAAAAAAGAGGTCCCAAACGCCAGCCAACTTTAATCCAGAGAAGGCTAAGATAGCATCGATAGATCTTCTGTCTTTCTAAGGGGGATGAGGACAAATTAACCTGGTGATCAGCTGCAATTCCTTGATCAGCAACCGTACGTCATCTCCGGCCCATCTGCCAGCAGATCATGCAAGCACCAATCCGGCCGGTACCAACGCATCGTCCAGAAACACAGGCATTTGTCATGACAGTTCCTTTTTTTTTTTGACTAGAAAAAAAAATACCCGTACGTTGGAACAGGTGAAGGCTATTTAATCTTATTATTATTATATGATTTAGTTAAGGTAAAATTCAATATGAGAATTCGCTTGGATATATTTTTTTTAAAAAAAAACCATGAGCTTCATGATCGTCTCAAATTAGCATGCATGTTTTTTTTTATAAAGAGATTTCTTATATGACTTCTTCTGGATTTCCAAAAACGAATAACTTAAAAACCGACTCAAATACGGGTAGGTATTTCCAAAAGCAAACGAAATTAAAAACCGACTCAAACACGGATGACGTACCAAAATACCGACAAAAACATCTTCAATTTTTATAATAGTAGAGATAAATGCAATCTGAGCGCATAAATGTGTCTTTCTCTTGTGGTGGAACTTGCCCACCCAATTTCAAGTCCTAAACTTAATACAGTTGGTCGTATTTATGGCTAGTTATTTTTAAGTGATATTGATAATAATAAGATGATTGTGGTGACTTCATCTATCTCAAAACATGTCAACTCAGTCTTCTAAGGTGCTTATATATAGCGGTAGGATTTGCGTGTGGATAAGGGGAGTTTAAGCGTGTATGTGAGCACTTGTATCTGTACTGTGTTTTCAAAGAAAAAATTTGTCATGCTACCTATTAAGTAGTGCATGCGGATCTGGATCAAACACACCTCAAACCTTAGAATTCTTGTATCACTACACTCAACCAGTTCGATGTTTTTCCACCTAAGCTTGTAGTATTAACCACAGAAGAGAGCAATAACAGACGTCGAATGAAATAATTATTTAGCAGACATATATATTATTCTTTAAATTTAATATCTTCTTTTTTAAGGGTACAATTAAGGACACGCACAAACAGACACCACACTCACACCACAACACATGTACACACACGTGTCCACGTCCCTAACATATACCACTCAACGCGCATGTGTGTCCTTTATACATGGGAAAGAGAGGTAAAAAAACCCTGGGTGAGCATGAGAGTTCGATGCTCGCAGGCAGTGTGCCCACCGCGACGCTAACCACCCGAGTAAAATATCGGTCCCCTTTAAATTTAACTAGAAAGAAACAAGCGCTACGCTGCGCGCTACGCTGCGTGCGATGATGATTGTAATAACCATACGCCAATGCATGATAAGTATTCTGTTACGCTTTTATGTGCAAAGATGCACAGAGCAGTGCATAGTCAAAATATTTCACTGCGAATGTAGCAAATGCATATATGTTGACCAAATGACCTAGAAGATGCTACTGCAATCTAAGAACATTGATCTAAAATGACCGCCTTATATAAAAACTAAATAAATTTAAACTTGCATCTTTCATGTACATACAATTATTACAATTCAGACATGCTGCAGATTTCTCTCGCTTTGCTGAAGAACAGAGATATCACTGTAATATCTGGACTGAATATGTCGACCAAATCATGACAAAGCAGAAAGGTAAAAATAAATCTATTTGTTTGGATTGGTTCAATTCAAGATGTGTCAAAATCGACTTGAGAGTCAGTATGACATCAACACTGGTCATATGTAACTTGAGATTTGAGGTATGTTTGACATGGGATTTTTTCTTCATAAAAAAACATTCATAGCCATGGTTAGGAAATACTGTAGAATCAGACTGCAAGTGGTAGAGATGAACCATCTGCTCATTTTGAACACCACCTACAACAAAAAGAAGCAATCCATGACACAACTAAGACAATGTCCACAATAGAAGGTCAAAAGGACCACATAAAACATTATAATAAAGATTGGATAGTACGTGTGTTAGTATAAATCAAAATGAGTAAACTAAAGTTCTCATGTAAACCACAAAGAATGAGCTGAAAAGAAGTGTACTAATTATTCTAGTATCAACTTAAGGGGCAGCAAAATACAACATTCTGCTCATCAAATATTACCAAACTATTGATGATCCAATACTGAAAATGGAACTACTCCTCAGCTAATTGGTCATGCAACCAAGAAAAACCTAATCCAATAACTCTTAAATTAATGTTTTAAGTTTTACTAATGATGAATAGATATATTGCTGAACTTTAACATATTCTCACAAACATGGTAAATTTATCTCCTAGAGTTGGATGTAAAGATTAAATTTAGACTTTCTATGCATTAAGATGTACTATACAGTTCATGAACTAAACAATACGACAATCCCGTTATAGTTTCAGAATAACAATTTCCTAATGGTTTGGAAAGTTACGTAAAAGTATTTATAGAAAGCATGACTTAGGAGGCCATGGCCCTAGAGGTCTAGAGAACTTCTGGATTATTCAAAATAGTCCTGCCATGTTATATTATCAAAGAACAATTTTAGTAACTTCCTCTCGAAAAAGTAAAAACTGAATAATTGCTGTTACAGTTGGATATAAAATTTGTATGTTTAGAGATTAGGTTATTCTGGTGACATAATCTGTGTGCCATACAATGAGAATATGGGGAGTCGATGGGAACGGTTCAACTTAGTACTGCAAGCATTCATGTGTAAACAGGTAAAACTGACCTATATAGACTACCGAGCAAAGAACAAAGAGGCACATCTAGACTTTCCCCATAAAATTAAGAAGAAAAACTGAACACAACTTGCTTCATACTTGTAATTTGGACATGTAAAAACAATTGGTTTGCTCTAACGTGGAAGGATGCTCTAACATGGAGCGAATCTTCTAGCACCAAGAATTGTCTTGCAAAAACAAAGGAAGCTCTAACTTGGAGAAAATTTTATAGCAGCAAGAACAATTGGTTTGTGGAGCTAATTCAGGTAAGGATTGCTCTCAAGAACAGGTAGGACCTAGGTACCTAAGGTATGCTCATCTCTTACAGCATGGCTGCAGAGGCAAATTAGTAGAAAAGAATTCACATTAGACTCAGTAAACAATAACATGAGAACTTGATGGGTTTTACATTGTATCAAAGGTGTAGGCAAGGGACCTTCAATATATTAGAAGCTAAACTCTTAATAATTATGCGAAGTCAAATAAGATACAGTGAGATAATCATATGGCTAGTTATAATGAGAAGTACTCTGTACCATGGGCTGCTGGAATCCCTGGCCGCGCCAAGCTGCCATCGCAAGGATGGCCTAGCAAAGTAACTTAGCGGAGCTCGTTGTGGCACTCCATCGCAGGCTGCATTTGCACAGCCACACATGCGTATGGGCTGCCAAGCAGCTTGTTCTTCTCCGTCTGAAAACTCCTCCATATCAAAACATCAAGAGGGCATTCTAACAAACAAAATGTTGATGGATGTATAAGTCCATGAAATAGAAATAGAGAATCTGAATTGTATGCAGTCAACTGCAGACTTTGATTTGGGGGAAAACTTGGGGGTTGCAAGAAGTTTCTTGAGCAGATTAAGACATACATGCTAACTCCAACTATTTGATTACTATAATGAATGCACGAACGATTAGGACATCAATCGGATGAACATGGGCAGTACTTCAAGAGGGCATTCTAACAAACAAAATGTTGATGGATGTATAAGTCGATGAAATAGAAATAGAGAATCTAAATTGTATGCAGTCAACTGCAGACTTCGATTTGGGGGAAAACTTGGGGGTTGCAAGAAGTTTCTTGAGCAGATTAAGACATACATGCTAACTCCAACTGTTTGATTACTATAATGAATGCACGAACGATTAGGACAGCAATCGGATGAACATGGGCAGTACGCCTGAACTAACAAAAGCAGAAACACACGCACTTATTACCTGCATCTTGTAGAAATAAAATCGAAGCAACCTATGTAGTGGAGTACCGACAAATATATTGCCATTAAATAGTTGAGCTTGCTTCGAACCAGTATTGCTGCAACAAAAATAGGGGGATCGATCCAAAAAAATAAAATCCAGCAAGATGAGAGAAAATTAGATGGGGAAAGTTACCTGTTGTAAATGTGATGAGATTTTCCATGCATACATTGCCATAGAAAAAGAAAATTACTGATGCGAGGGGGAGGGAGCGCACCGCTATAGAGAAAAAAAGTTGGAGGACGCTGTGGGGGACTCACGCGCCGGCGCGTTGCCGCCATCCTCACCAAGATGCGACCATCCTCACTGGCAGATGAAGGGAAGAAGGTGGTGGTAGCTCGTGTTCCTCTTCTCCAGGCGCCTGGATCTTTGCTAGCAGATGCGGCGACGAAAATTGAGGGCTGTGGCGGAAGCGCTTCGTTGAGGGTTGGAGGAGTGTGAGATTGCGACGGCGGCATGCGTGAGGGAAGAGGCGGTGAGGCGGTGGTGAGGCGGAGATAAAACTATGAAAGAGAAGAAGAGGCGGCGGTGACTCGCTTCTCTCTCCTTCGAGTCGGCAGATCCGTCGGGGAGGAGGCTAGGGCCGCCGCCGGCAGATGCGACGGCGGCGGCGGCGGCGCCGACACGCGCGAGGGGAGGTGAGGAGGGGGAGGGTCGCGGAGGAGGGGCTGGGTGAGGCGGCTAGGGTTTGGTGCGGGCTAGTGAAATCTACACCGTCCGTTACGGATCCAACGATGCCACGGGTGCGGAAGGGCCGACAGCGCGGGACACGTGGACGGTCAGATCGAGCCTATCGTGAGATCGGACGGAGTACGTTAGCAGGAACCGCCCCGTAATTAACCGAAAGAGCAGGGATTTTTTTGCAAAAATCGATGACGTGGCGCGCTAAATCCTCATCCATTCCCACGACGTTTAAGTATTCCCACGGCGTTTAAGTAAACTAATAATATATATCAGTAGCTTAGGGCTGTGTCTCAAACAGGCCCATATCTCGACAAGTCTAGGCCTGGCCCATGGTTGGGTTAGGAAAATTTCTCCATATGTGTAGCCACTGGCAAAATTATATATGATTGTTATACAAGAAAACACTAGTACGGGATGGGTTTTTCCGTACGGTCAACAAAATTTTCACGTGCGGATGAATGCACTCAACACTTCGTCTGCGAAAATCATGATTTTTACGTGCGGGTGGCGCCTTCGCACGCGAAAATCAGATTTTTCCATGCGGTTGCTTATGTCGCCCGCACGGAAAAATAATAATCAAAAAAAAAATAATATTCACAAAGTACCGAACCCTAACCCTAGATCTGCCGCTCCCCGCCGCCACCACTACTGCCGGATCCGGGCGGGGGACTGCGCAGCCGCCAGATCTGAGCGGAGGGCAGCCGCCACCGCTGGATCCTGGCGTGGGGAGCGAGGCGCCGCTCCCGGCCGCTAGATCCTGACCATCTTGTCCTCGTTGTCGGCGTCAGCCACATGAGGTGGGGAGGATGGCGCCGCTCCCAGCCGCTTCCTCTTCCTCGTCGTCGGCGGCCGCATGAGGAGGGGAGGGTGGTGCCGCTCCCGGGAGCCTCCTCCTCCCCGTCGTTGGTGGCAGCGCCGCTCCCGGCTGCCGCCTCCTCCTCCTCGACGTCGGCGGCAGCCGCCGCGCCACCTCCGCCTGCAACCGCGATGGGCGCCTCCTCGTCGGCGCGCGGCAGCGGCGCCGCTCCTAGCCGCAGCTTCCTCCTCCTCGTCGTCGGCGGCGGCGGCCGCCACCGCGATGCCTCCGAACGCAGCCGCACCAGCCTCCCGTGCCTCGGCCGCCAGCAGCTCGGCCACCGCCTCATCGGCAGCGGCGGCGGCGAGCCGATCGCCTCCCGCCTGCGCGCTCAGAGAAAGGAGTAGAGAGGAGGGTTGAAAGGCAGAGAGAGAAGTTTCACTGAGAGAGAGAGGGTGAGGAGTGAATATTAAAAGGAAAAAGGTAGAGAGAGTAGGTGAAAATTTTGAAGTGTGTGGGAGGGAATGGCCTTTTTGTGCGTGGTTCAGTTAAGACGTACGTCTGTGGAAATAAACTTATTTTTACGTGCAGTTCACTTAAGAGGACCGTACGGAAAAATCAATTTTTCCGTGCGATCCTCTTAAATGGACCGCACGGGAAAATGAACCCATTTTTCCGTGCGGAACAAGTTACCGTCCGCACGCAACTCTGTCCAGGAAAATCATTTACGTAGTAGTGAAAGTAAAAGATCAAACTTCTGTTGCTTCTTCCAATACTAGTACTAGATATCTTAAAGCGCATGGGTTTGCCGCTACCAGAGCGATTTGGCTCCTGATGACTAATCCGCTTGAAACACCTCGCTAATATGGATTGATTATGGTTGTGTTTTAGATGCCTTTCCTGTGGACCGTTCGATCCTGCACATGGGCCACATCTATCCATCCGTTTTTCCCTATCGCCCGTGCTTACCGCGTCGTGGGATCGCTTGGCGCCGAGCCCTCCACGTCGCCCGCTCGTCTCTTCCCCTTCCTCATCCTCACGCCGCTCGCTCCCCCCGACTCCCCCTCTCCCCGACCGCTTGCTTCCTTCCCCTTTCTCCCGCCCCTCTCCACCAAACCCTCAGGCCGTCTCCCTCCCTCCGCCTCCCCACTCACCATCTCCCCGTGGTGTCCTCCGCGGCTCCTTCGGGCGCGGTGGCGTCGGCGACGGAGCGCCCTCGCTTCCTAGAGCGGTGCGGCCTCAACGCCGACGAGTTCGACGACGATGCCGAGGCGGAACCCATGGTTGGCTTGTTCGGTAGATCGATTAGGGGTCTCGCGGAGGTTAATTTCACTGCGGTTTCTGGTGGTTTGAGTGTATTTTTGTTTGTTTGTTTTCAAGAAGAGAGGAGGAGGGGAAGGCCATCGTCATTGCTGGATCTGGTCTCTCCTTGCTCAGCGGTAGCGGCAACGTCCTCCCCTTTGTCCTGGCCTCCCCATCCTCCTCCCAAAAAATCCCCCACTGCTGGCTTCATCGGTGACGGCGATGACGCACAGTAGCTCCCGCGTCGCCCACTCCGCTAGATATGGAGGCACCTCGTCCTCTTCTTCGTCTCAGCGCCAGGCAGTCCCCTCGTCCTCGGCACCATCGTCGACACCAAAGGTCAGCGTCCCCCCTTGTCACTCCTTACTCAACTCCTCTATCCCTCGCCCTTATCCTCCTCCCGCCGTCCTCTGTCTCTCACTGATCTCGCCGCCGACGATTGTCTACAGGAACAATGACGAGGCCTCTGGGTGGAGACGAGGATCTCGGTGGCGATGCGGCCGGAGGCAATACAACGTTCCCACTGTTAGCATGACATTGAAGTGTGGTTGATTAGGCGAAGGAAGATATATTTTGGTTGGAGGATTGCAGGGATGTAAGCGGTTTGAATAACATTTGGGGCTAATCTGAGAAAGAGGTTCCAGTGTTTCCTCTGCGAAAGTTGTTGCGAAAAGCAGCTGGACAAGACAATTATGAGGTATCATACACAACATTTATCCGCTAAATTTGGTTCTGTCAAATTTGCTTGATTTATACGATACATGTTTATATATGTATGGACTATTACAGTGCGATGCGAAAGAAAGTAAATTTCAATAGTTGACTATGGATGACATGGTGAAGGATTATTGCGACTAGCGACGAAATTATGTGGATGTTGTATGGGTTTCCTATAAATTTTGTACTTCAACCACAGTTTACTCTGTGTAGTATCCAGATTTGAGTATTTTCTACCAATAAAAGTAGGTTTTAGGGGATCAAGTAGCGCAGCAGATAGTTCTTACATAGGACCACGCATTATATATGGTCTCTTATGTTGAGCTAGATTGCTACTCTAAGGTATGGGATGCTGCTAGCTGCCTCTTATGTTCTCACTTCTGAGCACTATGAAGTCCAACATGAAACAAGAGAACTGTTTTGTATAGAACATGCTATTGATCAGCACAACCAATTTATCTGAGTTTATTTCTTTGCTGAATATAGCGAGATTGCAGTGTTACTTCCAGCAGAGAGAATTGCAACTGCTAGACTAAATTTTTTTTGAGGGGTGGCGGCACTGGTTTATGAGGTTGCTAAACATACAATGTCCAGAAACTTACATGCCATGGGATTATATTTGCTTGCCACAGTAGGCCTTACAAATGTATGGTTGTTACTTTACATTGTACATTTTTGGAGATTTGGGGAAACAAAGCCAATTATAGCTGTTAAAGTAAGAAGCTGTGAAAAGACCACCGGACATGCATGTTTCTGTACAAAAAAGTATTGTTACAGTATTGAGGAAACGTGGTGCTTAATGAAATGATTTATGCTGTCATTCAGCATAACCTTTGGCCCGTCACTACTCTGCTTGCATAACCTTTGGGTTGTTGTCGTATGAATTGAACCTGATTAGTTGATATTCAACCGTTGGCGGTAAAATTCCTTTTTACATTCAATCTTCTTGGCTGTTCAACAGCAGTGATAGCTTTTGTTCCCCCAGTGAAACAACTATGCAATGCTATTACTTTCTTTAAGAACATCCACATGCAATGCTTTAGGCAAATTCTATTATCTTGTTATGTTGGCTAGATGAGCATCCTAGATGCTTAATATGGGGGAGTATGGTAAGATGTGTGACGAAATTCAGAAAGATAGTTCAATATAATTTTTGTTGTTGCCTCTAAATAAAAGAATAATGTTCTAAAAGATAACTCTATTCTGTTGTGGGTCAGCTCTACAGAGTTCCTTCTGTTTTTATTCCCGCAGATTCCATTTACATGGTTTTTCTTCATGGTCATGAAGCAACTTGCTCGCTGGACCTGTTGCATAGCTTACATGGCTCCTCCCATTATGTCTTGCTTCCAGGTAATAAAGACTATTCATTTCTTTGATTGTTGGGGGTGCGCTTCAGACCTGTGGTCATGCCGCCGGCAACCGCATTAATTCAGCTAAGATGCGGTTCTTGATTTGTTGGCGAAAACCCAGATTCTGGGAAATCATTGAGCTGACCTGGAGTTCTTGTTCAGTGTTTTGCTCTTCGACTAAGAATCTGGATATGGCGAGCTTTCAGGTAATGAATCCTTCTACCAGCTTATTTGATGGTAATTTCTGTTCTTTGGAGTCCTCCCATGACAGAAAGATAGGATTTTTTTTCTTAGTAAAATTTTTGTTTGAAAAAAGGGAGCAAGCAATCTGCTGCTCACATTGCTGAAATCGAATCCAACTAATTCTTCTCCTACTTCTTCCAGCAGGAAACAAAGGCCAGGAATGATCAAGGGCCTGTTGCTGATCACGTTAGGCATCAGAACCATGGAAAACCTCACAGATCATCCAGAAAAAACTCTCAGAATGCAAAGGATCTAGGATTTTCTCCATCGAGTTTGTTGCCCTGATTGCATTTTGCCCCTTTAGTTCAGAGTTGTTCATTCTCTCGTGAGTATGCTTGAGAAACCAGTCTGTTGGTCATTCTCTCGTGAGTATGCTTGAGAATCCCGTCTATTTTTTTATGTGTTCCTGCTAGAACCTGAGTTGTGTGGCTGCCTTCTCATCTCAACCCATAGAAGCTATTTCTGATTTTTTTTTTTTTGGCCTGCTTGTTTTGGGGGCTGACATGCATAGCATCAGTAATACCTTCTTAACATAAGCTGCGCCTACTATTTTACTATCCTCTTTTATGTTTAAGATGGTTGCCAGTTCAATAACACATCTGCATCCATAGCGATTCCATCATGTTGCTTCGTTTGTCCATGCAGGGAAAGGAGACCGCACAAAGCATCCGTTAATTTATCCATTCAGAATAAGATACCAAGGAAACCCACTAAAATGATAGTTGGCAACAACCTAGCAAGAAGAACCTAAGGTGGTTCTTTTTATTTTTCCAACATATTATGTCTGCTTTTGATTTGGGTTTAATAGTTTTTGTTGGTGACCATAGTATTGCGTTTTCTTAAAATAAGCTCTCACGTTAGTAGGTGGCTATGAGCTACCATGAGGTGGTCACTGTTCTTTGCTCCTGATTAAATGCAAGTGTTGCTTGTGCAGGTGATGGAAAAAGCAACAAGTACTTAGCGTTTGTCATTCTCTCCAGCAGGTGATATGCTATTCAATTTATTATTTCCTGTGATTTTACGGTGCCACTACCTTCGTTCTGTTCTCGGAAGCAATATAGCTAATTGCCTATAATAGATTACTTCCTCCGTTTCACAATGTAAGTCATTCTAGCATTTCCCACATTCATATTGATGTTAATGAATCATTGATTCATTAACATCAATATGAATGTGAGAAATGCTAGAATGAATTACATTGTGAAACGGAGGGAGTACATAATAAAAGTTTAGCGCATCTGCCAGGTAGCATTTTCATACAATGTTAGATACTTACATGCTATGCATCTATTCAAGATCCCTTTTCTTCTGTCATGACCTATTACTGGCAGTACTTATTTTTGGGCACTCATATGGATCTTTTCTAATGGTTCTCTGTTAAAGCTACGCATTGTTCACACATGAAGATTAAGTGAAAAAGATGACACACCCATCTTACCTTTATTTGATGGATATGCTATATTAAAACCCAATTGTATGTCCTTAGCCTCTTAGGTCATTGTATTGCACAACACCGTTTGCAGATGAGCTCAGTATATATATTGCTTATATCATTGTGTTTGCATAATAAGGTTTTGGTACTAATATGAGGTTACTATGCTCAGAGTGGTTAGATATAGAATTCATTTTGTTATTGGTCTGTAGTTTGCTTTTGGCTCTTGTTTTGTTTTTCCACAGGCCCAGCAAATATGATATAAGATAATGTTAGTCATGGTCCCTCATCTTGAAAAGGTCGCTGCTGACATTCCTCAAACAAATATATGAGCCTGTATATACCGTACTATTTAATGGTCGTCTCAAATGATAAATATATGAAAGTATTATATGTTTACCGTGTATTATGCAAGAGTACATGAGCTTGTCAGGTTGTGTGGCGAGATCAAATATATCATTGCTGATTGCTGATTTGTTGGCTACCTTGATGATGTCCATCTGAGAGCATCTGAACATATATCCATTGAAATAATCTAGTTTCACGTCCTTAGAATGCATATAGACTTTGTTGGCGGTATGGCATGAGGCCCTTCAACCAGAATCTACCGAAAGCTATGCGAAGAGTGGGGATTCAAGCCCGAGACGTCAAAGTTAGTCGGGGCGAAGCCCCCTATGGCGAAGACTATGGAACAAGGACGGCGAGAGGCGAGGGATCGCGCGGGTACTCTGCCAAGCCAGTGGCCTCTTGGGCGAAGGATGTAGGGCGAAGAGTATATGCCGAAGGGAGACGATTTCGCCAAAGCAAGCTTGCCCCCGCGAGGGCCGAAGAAGCCTTTTCCGGCCCATCAAGCCTAGGGGCTATTGGGCCGACGATCGCCCGACGGCCCATCAGGGGCTCATAAACCTCTATTACACTATATACCCATGTAAATGTCCCTTAACCATGTAAATTCCCCTGTATAACCAAAACCCTAGTAGTAAGAACCTGTAATAGGGGCTATAAATAGTCTCATAGGGCCATGTGATAGGGGGATTTAAGAAAAAATTCTCTAATCAATACACTTTACTTGTTTTCCAACCACTGTTGAGTAACCACGTCTTTCGACGTATGCAGCTGTCGTTTCGACAACAGACTTCGAACAAGTATAAAAAAAAAACTCTACGCAAAAGCTTAGTGCACTTAGGTCAAGTCACAAGCATAGAACAGAAAAACGGCTTCCCCTTCCATACACCTGCATCATGCCATCATCTAATTATACCAAAGTACATTCACGAATAAAAACATGGTTCCATTGCTTGCTGCTTGCCATAGACCAGGACTAATCGCTATACTGAACTGATTTCCTCACGCCCGCTTCGAGCACCGCGTGGCGTAGCGCGTGAGACCGTTCTAGTATAATATTAAAATTGCTTGATCCCAATGGGAATCCGACCACCTAAAAAAAATAAATAGAAAAAAAACAGCAGGCAGTTGTCTAGCAAATCCCTTTAATTTACTGACAAGGAAGCTCCATCAACATATATGTGGTTGATCAAGAAGATTTTCTATAGGCTGCGTTTGGGAGGGGTTGGTAACCCTCCTCCCGGCACGCAAAACGGAGCACGTATTATTGCATGATTAATTAAGTACTATTAGCTATTTTTTTGAAAATGGATTAATTTGATTTTTTTAAGCAACTTTCGTATAGAAACTTTTTGTAAAAAATACACCGTTTAACAGTTTGAAAAGCGTGCGCGTGAAAAACGAGGAAGAAGGGCTGGGAACTTAAAGCTAAGAACACAGCCTAAAAGAAGTTTGCATAGTGACTGATATAGCCAAATATATTGATAAGTTGGTGAGTTTATTCATGATAAAAAGAGTACAATGTAATTAAATGCGCCACATATATATAACGAAAATACCATAAATTAATTACATGAGATAAGTTGATCAGCTAATTACAAAATAGTTAGAACAATGACAGTACTGGCCAATCAGAAGCCATCCAAGCCGCTATGTACACCCTCACCAAAGATTGTAAATTTGGTGATAAGCAGAGCACAAAGCTAAGTGCCAAAGGGCATGTAGCCTAGTGATTGCAGTGACCTGAGTAGCACCCCAAGATTCTGATCAGTTCAAATCTCCATAGGAGCGAATTTCATATTGGCTTATTTGAGGGCTTGTTCCATGTTCGATAGGTTAAGTTCCTATTTTTAAAAAAAAGACTGCATATATCCGGTTGAATATAGAGGCCGGGAAAAAAAATACCCTTCTCTAAGAAAATAATTAAAAAAAGTGCCATATACTCAATGGCGTTCCAAATTTCTCCCCCACGATCATAGAACCCCGATTAAATTATTGAATTTTAACTAAATAATATTATATTAATAAATATATAAATCAATAGTTAGATATTTAAGTACATATAGTAGATAGTACCTCGGTAATTCTTTTCTATATATGTTTGTCACTGTAGCTACTGATATATATATATATATATATATATATATATATATATATATATATATATATATATGGGCACCATTGTTGAAATTGAGTATATACCCAATTCAAATGAGTATGAATCTTTTTCAATTACTTAGGTATTAATATTAACCACTTTACTAACTAGTTCAAAGCAAGTTTGAACTGAATTTGAACTTGTTTTTGTTAGATTTTGATTCTAGGTATATAGCATCCATACATATAATTAGTTAGGTATGTAATCATGGATTGTGAAATAAAGTTAAATTTGAGTTGTTTTGTTGATAGGTATAGGTATGAATCGAATTATTATAACTAGGTATATACTCACAATTTGAAAATTTTGAAAAATTTGAGTGATTTTGTGCATTTGATACCATGGTGCCCGGGCACCATGGTGCCCCATATGAGTGTCCTCTATATATATATATATATATATATATATATATATATATATATATATATATATATATATATATATATATATATATATATATATATATATATATCATGTCAACTTCACCTCCTTGCTCTTCTCCCACGCATGCAGTACGCATGTGACATGATCAATCGATCGCCCTTCGGGCCCCTCATGGATACATGGGCTGTAGACCATCCACCATGCGTGTGTGCCAAATACTCCCTCCGTATTTTAATATAAGGGATTTTAATATTTTACTTGCACTGTTTGACCACTCGTCCTATTCAAAAAGTTTGTGCAAATATAAAAAATAAAAAGTTATGTTTAAAGTAATTTGGATAATAAAGTAAGTCACAAATAAAATAAATAATAATTCTAATTTTTTTAATAAGACGAATGGTCAAACAATGCAAACAAAATATCAAAATCCCTTATATTAGGGAACGGAGGGAGTACCAGATAGCTGATGATGGTGTATAACAGTATTACATGAGATAAATAAAAGCTAATAACTAATCTTGTACAGCGCTCCTGCAACAGAGTTTGTAGGAAAAATATACACAACAGAAAATTCTTGCAATAAAAAGATGGAGACGGTGCACATGAGCTTACTTATTTCCAAGGAAAATGCTACCTAGCTAAAAGGAGATTTTTTCCTTTTTTAGCTAAAAGGAGATCATACATCTATAGATCATGACCAAACACAGATCATCACCGTAAAGAAAGGGTGTATCAGACGCACACAGCGTGGCACGACCAACCTCTCTAGCTACGCACAGAAAGTACGGGGTGTGCCACGTCAAGTGCGTCCGACGTCATCCTCTCTGAAGAACAACTTAACACCAATGACCCCACCGTTGAGAGATCTCACCCACGACTTATATTATTACTCTCTCTGTTTTATATTATAAGACTTTCTAACATTGTTCACATTCATATGTATATTAATGAATCTAGACATATATATATGTGTATAGATTTATTAACATATATATATATATGAATGTAGACAATCCTAAAAAGTTTTATAATATAAAACGGAGGAAGCAGCTAGTTGTGTGGACTGTAAAAGTGTAGAGAGCACAGCAACAACGATGACATTGGCGCAACGACGCAACGCAATGCAGCAGCAACCTATAAATAGCAGAGCTCAAAAGTACGAAATTACCATGCTGCCCCGGCCTGATCACCATTTTGGGAGTGTGAAAGCGCCGTGCTTTTGGCGCCTAAAAGATGAGATGAGAAGAGATGGGGATTGGACGGATTGGTGGTGGGCTTTGTGCATGATGCATGCGTCTCCCCGTGACGGGTTTCCGCGCGCCCATTGGGCCGCGTCGACGTGGATTCGCCTCAGTCATCACCAATCATGATATCGTTGACCGAGGAAACAGGGCGACGCGGACGCATCTGCACCGTCGATCGATCGCTTCTGCTGGTCATGGATCATCTTCCGAGTGTTCTAGAACAGATGTGCCTCTGCTAATTAGAGACAACCTTACTTTACACCATCATACCGTACTGGTTGCCTGGTTGGGAGTTACCGAGCCCACGGTAACACGGCTACCGCGTGGTTACCATGAAAAAACCAGACGAACGGTATATGTTGAAAATTTTTAAAATTTTTAAATTCATGGTTTGAAAACAAGTAGAAAAATATGATAAATTCAATAGAATATATTGCAGATAATTTTGGAACAATATTCAGAAAATATAAAATAATATAGGAATAATGTAGGGAAATTTTTGCATGGCCTTTGCTATTTTTGACTTATAGTTTTCTAATTTTTTTCAATTTTTGTTTGGCAGAAAAATATGTTCACATTGTTTTCACCATACGACAAGAAATTAGGTAATACTTATAGGATTTTTAAAATGCATTTCTCCTTATTTTCTAAATTTGAATTGACACACATTTTATGGACCCTGCCAACGGTTTCCACTACAGAACCTGTGGTAAGTCCGGTTATCACAAGTGGGGAAAACCCTTGAGAATGCTCTCCTAAAAATTATTTTATCTACCGATGAACTCAAATGACTCAAAACTATTTATTTGTGTAATTTTTTTAATGAATATGCTTATTGTCATTTTGATCTTATGGCTTATTACCCGATTACCAAAAAATCATAATGGACCAATGTTTTGGTAAAAAATATATTTTGACATCAAACGATTTCAAGTTCCAAAATATAATGGCCATGTTCAGAGGCACTTGCTGCCGTGCCGCAACCACAGGGGTTGCGGCAGATCAAACCAGCTGCCAGCTGCAGCTACAGCCATTGCGGCAGCTAGCCCAGCCGAACACATCTATTATAAGTCGTTTTGACTTTTTTTCTAAATTTATTGAAAAACGTATCAATATTTTTTTAACACAAACAAAAATACTATCAAACATACTCACTATTAGATTTAGTGAAACTAATTCGGTGTTGTAAATATTGCTATATTTTTCTATAACTTGATCAAACCTAATTAAGTAGTTTGACTCAGAAAAAAATTAAAGTGAATCACAATATGAAATGGGGCGAGTATTTGATATTTACTCTTGTCCA